TTTGAATCTTTTCCCGGAACAGTCAGGGGAAAGCCTCATTGATTCACGAGGCTTCATTTCCCCATCCCTACCGGATGTACAAGATGGTCTTTAGTCACTACAAACAATACAATAAAGGAAATCAAACTCATATAATTCATCAATAAACATATCAACAACATATACTCAATCTAAACAATTCAAATAAACAAATTCAAACAATACAATTGGCAAAACAAACTTACTTAACGCATCCTAAGGAAAGGACATGGTTGGGTGTCCATTCAAACACCCACACCTCACCAATACAAAAGAAACAAAGGAAGGAAGTGAGGTCTACTTATAGACCTCGACCAGGAGGTATATGGGTAATGTAGTGTAGTATACTTGGAATTGTGGGATATGTAGTACAAATATATATATATATATATATATATATATATATATATATATATATATATATATATATATATATAAAAAGAAAAAAAAAGGTAAAATTAAAGAAAAGGACCAAATTCACTACAGCCGCCCCCAAATACAGTCATGTATTTGCTATTACTCATCTATTTCAGGTAATGGAATCAACTTAGCAACTGGACGTACATACATCTTTCCATTAATATCAATCTCAGCTACTCTGACACGCCCATCCTGACTAGGTAAGAGGCGTACTACCCTGCCAATGGGCCATGATGCTCTTGGAAGTTGAGAATCAATAACTAACACGACAGCAGAGTCATTTAGATTAGGTTGTTCTCGATTCCATTTGTGACGGAGCTGCTGACCTGGTAAATAATATCGGATAAATGATGTCCAAAACTGGTCAACGAGGGCCTGGCTGTGGCGCCAAGATCTGCGGCCAAGGAGCTTAGTATTGGCATAAATCACCTGAGGTAGAGAAGAATCTCACCGCCCCATGAGGAGGAGATTTGGAGTGATGGGGTCGAGGTCTGAAATGTTTGAAGAGGCGTAACCAAGTGGCTTCGAATTTAACACTTCCTCTGATACTGTTTGACTGCCAAGTACCACCCGCAAAGCTGTTTTAACCGAACTGACCTCTCTTTCCCATGACCCCCCAAAATGAGGAGCTTGTGGTGGATTAAACTTGAATTTAATCTGCTGATTTTCCAACTTGACTTGTAACTCAGTGGTAAGGTTCTGGAAAGCTTCCTTTAACTCTCTTGCAGCTCCACGGAAATTGCTTCCTTGATCACAAAGAATCTCATACGGCCTACCTCTCCTGGATATGAAGCGACGTAGGGCCATTAAAAGCTGTCCAGATCTAAACTGCTCAACAAATCAAGATGCAGACATCGAGTGGTCTGACACTTAAACAGAATGCCCCATCTCTTCTCCGTTCTACGGCCAATATTGACATGGAAGGGACCAAAACAGTCCATTCCGGTGGACCAAAAAGGGAGGTTTGAACAACCGGAGCTTGGAGAGTGGAAGATCTGACATTTGAGGGATAGATGGCTTAGCTCTCCACTTCCTACATTGCAAACAAGACCACTGATTTTCTTTTTTTACGGCTTGTCTCCCTCTAATTATCCAGTAATTGCGCCGAAGTTCTGAGAAAACTCTCTCTGGACCGGGATGGAAAAGTTTCTTGTCACAATCCTTAATAATTAAATGGGATAATGGATGTTTGGGGTCGAGGACGATTGGATGAACCATTCCAGGTTCCATATCCTCTACACGTCTGAGTTTACCACCCACTACAATAAATCCTGTTTCTTCATTGAATTCGGGAGAAAGTGTAAGGAGACAACTTTGAGGTTCAATGGGCTATCCTTTCTTTAAACACTGGTACTCAGAGGGAAAACTTTGTTGCTGGACTTATCTCAAAAGGAGGTTTTGGACTGAAGAGGCGTCACAGGGGTCCTCCCTATGTTGTCGCAATAACACGTTTGTTGCGAACTGTAACTCTGACCATGATTTAAAACAGGCAGGATCTGGGAGTACAACATCATCCAATTGTGTCAACCCACAAAAGAGTGGTTTACGGAGCTCAGGATCAGGACTAGCAGGTGTAGATACTAGATTTTTTTGGACATTCATGTGGAAGAATTTTCAGAAACGTTGGACCTTGTCGCCATCTATGATCAGGTTTGGCTAGCTCAACAAGAGTTTTGCCTCTCGTAATGTCATCTGCTGGATTCTGTGCAGATGGAATATACCTCCAAGAAGAGGGATCAGTGAGTTCCAATATTTCAGTGACTCTATTAGCTACAAAAACTTTGTAACGGCAGGAGAGGGAATGCAGCCAAGACAAGACAGTTGTCGAATCGGACCATAGGACAATATTTGTCAAAGGATGAGTCAATTCATTCTGCAGGAGCTTACAAAGCTGTGCACCTGTTAGAGCAGCGCAAAGTTCAAGACGAGGGATAGATATTTGCCTTTTGGGGGCAACTCGAGATCTTGCCATGATGAAAGAAGTATGTACCACACCCTTGTCAGTTTCCATTCGCAAATAGGCTACGGACCCGTATGCGCTCTCTGAGGCGTCGCAAAAAATATGCAACTCTCTGGATGTGATTTGGTTGGAAGGTAAAGTTAAATAACAACGAGGAAGCTGTATCAATGACAGGTCAGGGAGCTCGGTTTCCCAAGCCTTCCAGGCCTGTTGAATAGTATTTGCAATAAGGGGATCATCCCAGCCCCGGGACTTCATCTAGCATTGTTGTATGATGACTTTAGCTCGCGTTGTAAAGGGGGTTATATAACCCAATGGGTCATACTGACTAGCGAGGACTTTATATATATTGCGCAGGGTCGTTGTTTTATACTCCCCAGTTCGGGATCGATACCCTAATGAATCAGAGGGACAGTGCCAACTCAGACCCAGAGCTCATTCTTTAGGATCCAAACTGTCTTGATTGATCCATAGTTCAGCACTCTCAGACCTGGCTTCAGGAGGAAGATGTCTGACAACATCAGGCTGGTTACTTGCCCACTGTCTGATTTCAAATCCTCCACTCATCAGTAAAGAACGCATTCGGTCTAAGAAGTTCTTAGCAGATTTCACATTTGGGAAACTCTCTAAACAGTTGTCCACATAGAATGACTGAAGTACAGAACTCGCTATATCCTCATATCCTTCTTGGTGATCATGGACATGCCTTTGTAAAGCATATGTTGCACAACATGGACTACACACCGTGCCAAAGGGCAAAACTTGCCATTCAGATGTCAGGTGGATTTGAGTTCTGCATATTCCGCCACAGGAAGCGTAGAAGAGATCGGTCTTCTGGTAATAGCCTAACTTGATGGAACATGGATTTTATATCCCCACTAATAGCCACTGGGCACTGATGAAACCGGAGTAAGACACCAAGTAAGGAAGGGCCCAACTGTGGACCAGGAAGAAGTTGACTGTTAGTTAAAGTGACACACCTTTATATTGATAGGAACAGTTGAAGACGATTCTTTTTTTCCCGTTATGCTCCACAATATGATGAGGAATATACCACGATTCATCAGATGAGTCATGAGGAAGTTCCACTTTGGAAACATAACCGGACTCCTCCAACTTAGCAATCTCTTGGTCATATACAGCAGCAGTTTTAGGATTTCTTTGGAGGCGTCGTTCGATACATATGAGAGAAGACATAACTGCATTTGGTGAAGCCCGTAGCCTTATGGTGGATGCAGCACGCAATAACGGAGTGGCATATCTTTGCACCCCATCCACATCAACTCTTTTAGACTTGGAGGCCAACAAGTCCATAGCTGCTTGGTCCTGCTTTGACCTAGTAATGACTTTCCCATTCCTGAAAGGAAGGATGTCTACTTTCCATAATTTCTCCACATCATGGCGAAGTTCTTCTTCTGGATTAGCGATGGTAAAAAGACGCTGCATCTCATCAGTGTTAGGAAACGGTATCGGGCCTTGAAGTACCCAGCCTAACCTGGTCTGGATTGCAGCTGGGGATTTAGGAGGCCCGAAATAAACCTGATCAATTGGATTTATCAGGTGTGGGTAGTCTGCACCGATAAGAATAAGTGGTTGGACATTAGTGAAGGCTGGAAGGGGTAAGTCTCGAAGATGTCTGAAACGTCTCTGCAAGATCTCAACAGGATACGTCTGTTCTGCCAGTCCCAATCTGGCAGCAGAAAAGGCATTGGAAATGGAATACTTCCTTTCTGGATTGATCATGGAGGATATTTCAAAGGTTACAGAAGATCCTTCAAGTGCAAGAGTATCTTGACGCACAGTTATAACTATTAGGGACTCAGTTACCCCATTGAGGCCCAAAGAATCAGATGCTTGAGGTAGCAACATGGTACGTTCTGATCCATCATCCATGATGGCATAGGTTTGCAAGGATCTTCCTTTATAATGGAGAAGTACTTCAACAACTTTAAGCAGTACCCTGCCAGAACCTCCAAGGCGACTAAGATGGAATGTACCGTTATCTTGATCACGACAATTGACTCCATGAAGGATACCAAGATGTCTGCCTTTGCACTGTGGACAGGGTTTTTTCAAGTCACAGTTGACAGCTAGATGGTTAAGCCCGCATCACCAACATCTTTTGTTCTCTCTAATCCAGGCATCCTTCCTGGTGTCTTCTAGAGATCTAAAAGAGGGGCAACAGGCCAATGAAATGATCTCTACTGGGACAATATGCGCATGAATACTTGGAACTCCATTCTCCGTGTCTTACATTCTGGGGTTGCTTATCGGTGGATCTTGGCACAACAGAATTACTGTTAACTCCGTACAAGACTGTTCGAGTGTTAACGTAGGCCTTTGGTTGAGGTTTACTCAGGAATGGTTTTGGAAAGTCACTAACCTGATCCGCCATTGCTTGACACTTAGCTTCTTCTTGGAGCCAAGCGGAAAAGCTAATCAGGTTGTAGCTTTGACCCTTTAGGATCGTACGGGCATAACGGGCAAAGTTGGTCACATGCTCTGTGGGCAGTTTACTGAGTAGTTGCTGTACATGAGAAGCGCAGGATAATTCAGATTTAACTTGCTCTTGGCCCAAAGATTGGAGCATGCCAACCAAAGCTCAAACCTTTAGTGCGAAGCTACTAAATGCTCTGCTGTCACCTGGTCTCACCCTGGGGAGAGCTAGAATGGCTTTGATTTCTCTCAAAACTAGTTGGTGGGGTTGCCCATATTTCTGCTGTAGTGCAAAAAGAGCCATACCGTAAGGCCTAGGATCGTTAGCATAAGCCAAAGCTAGATCACGAGCTGGAGAAAATTTTAAATGATCCAGCAAGATATGGAATTTGTAATGTTCTGGCTCATGGGGTGACAACAAATTTGCCAAATCTAGCTGCAACATTGCAAATTCTTGGGGGTCATCATTCACCAAGAAAGGAAAGGAAGGTCCCTGAACGCGAGAAGTAGGATAGGAAGAAACAGGATATGGAGCATAATATGGCTGGGAATATGGATAAGGATGAAGGAATGGAATTGCGGTTGTCTGGGTAGTGGGAACAATTGGTTGAATATATGGAGCAGGAGGTTGTGCAACATAATTCCCTACCTGACCTACAGAGTGTGGTTGAATATGAGGGCCTACATTAGCTGAGGATACACGAGGAATCGCCAAGCTAGAAGATGGTCCTAATGGCTGTGAATACTGAGAAACAGCATACCGAGGCTGAGGAGGTAACTGTGCTGATGTTACTTGTGAGGATAACTGAGTATGAACCATGGCGGGGGAAAAGGGACTACATGGTAAAACTGGCTGTGGTGAACCAGTTGGTTGTACCAACACTGGTGATGTTTGCACTTGAGGGGAATGACAATTAGAAGGCTCAGGAACCAATGGAACAATAGAAGGTTGTAACATACTAGATTGTAGTTGTGATGTTATATCATGTGTGTGCATATGTTGGGGTGGACTACGTAACAATGAGGAAGGAGGAAGAGGCAGAGAACTAGGCCTACTCAATGGAAGCAGTGAAGGAACAGCTGAGGAATTACATTTCTCACATGTAGGTTTCTGTTCAGCTGTCTTAATACATGCACACAATTCTTGAACAATAGATGGATTAACAAAGGCATTATCATCATCCTCAGAAGCATCATCAAAAGACTCAGAAAATTCAGAATGTCTAGAAGAAACTACTAACTGTGACATTCTAGACATCATCTCACCAAGCATACCCTTAAGTCCAAGTATTTCTTGTTTAACCCTCTGGGGTCGGCAATCACGCCGGCGTGATTTGCTTGATTTTTTTTCACATAGCAGCAAAATAGACTTAAAATACTCCGTCGATTTTTGTCATACAGGCAAGTGTTATACATCATTCGATCCTGTTAAGTGTCTAATATTTTTGTGTATACTCACAATAAAAACAAAGTGTTGTGCTTTTCGACAAATAAAGAAAAATAAACATGATGCAAGTTCTGCCTTCTCTCTGTCGGTGAAGTCCATTCTGAAACGCGTCCGAAAATTAACTATAACTCCGCAAATACTTGTCATACAGGCACGAGAGATTTTTCTTTATGAAGCTTGAATTCTCTTCTTTTCAATTAAGTAATTTATATAAAAAACAAATATTCTCAGTTTATGTAATCTGTATGAAAAGAGAGTGCTGTCAGTATTTTTTTCCCCAGCTCATTACACTTCATTACGCGTTAATCTGACACGCCCACGGAGGACGCGAGTAGTAAATAGCATATACCTCCTGTCAATTTGATTGATTGACAGGTGGGCGTGTCTATCCTTTGATCTTCCCCCGCCCCTTCCGGTTCCTCCCCTTCCTGTCCCGCCCCTTGTCCCGCCCCTTCCGGTTCCTCCCCTTCCGGTTACCTTTGACCTAGTTCCGCCCCTTCCTGATAAACTTTCTGTCAAAATGATGGATGACGACCTTTATCTAGTTCCGCCCCTTCCTGTTAAACTTTCTGTCAAAAATGATGGATTGTTTGAAGTTTGTTTGATCTAGTTCCGCCCCTTCCTGTTAAACTTTCTGTCAAAAATGATGGATTGTTTGAAGTTAGTTTGAACAAGAAAAAGGGGTGTATAGGATGTGTGACAGATAGTTTGATCGTTTGAACAAGAAAAAGGGTGTATAGGATGTGTGACAGATTAATTGTTTGAAGTTAGTTTGAGATGTATTGGCTTTGATGTGACAGTTAGTTTAATCGTTTGGAGTTTGTTGTTACAGTTACAAAGCGATGGATTGTTATTATTTAGCGCATCCCCTCGCTATGCCTAAGCTTATCATAGCAGGTGTGTGTGAAAGTGATAAGAAAAAAACTGTAAAAGTGTATCTGTTCTGTAAAAGAATATAAAATAAAATCTTACTAAAACCTCACACAAAAAGTTTAAATAAAATGGAACCACAAAAATATTGCAAACAGTTAAAAATGTATTAGAGAGTTGAAGAAAAAGACATACAGCTTATAAACCAGTGTATGAATGATCTCACACTGCCTTAAAACAAAAAGAGGTGCTCTATGTGTGTGTGTGTGTGTGTGTGTGTGTCTGTGTGTGTGTGTGTGTGTGTGTGTGTGTGTGTGTGAGTGTGTGTGTGTGTGTGTGTGTGTGTGTGTGTGTGTGTGTGTGTGTGTGTGTGTGTGTGTGTGTGTGTGTGTGTGTGTGTGTGTGTGTGTGTGTGTGTGTGTGTCTTTGTCAGAGCAGTAAAGGATGCGCCGCATGCACTTATCTGTCTGTTTAGATAAAATAAAATAATCTTACATGTTTTACAGAGTTGGAAGAAAAATCCCCCGCTAGAGTCGGATCTCTCTGAAAACTATCTCCAATTATATATATTTTTGGACCGTAGGGATTTAGGGAGTCGTTTGTGTGTGTGTGTGTGTGTGTGTGTGTGTGTGTGTGTGTGTGTGCACGCATATGTTGCAGCGGCATGGATCTCCTCCCCTCCCTCCACATTGCTGGGGACCTTGAAAGTTTATCTCACACAGAAGTTGAAAAACCATGTTGTTCATTTAAAATCTTACTAAATTACTGAAGTTGAAAAGCATTCTGTTTCTTTAAAAGTGTATAAATTAAAATATATCATATATAAAATAAATAGTATACTAAATTACTGAGGTTGAAAAGCATTCTGTTTATTTAAAATAAATATTTTACAAATTTACTGTACCAATTATGTTAGATTTAGATAAAAATAAAATCATCTTACATTTTCACCAGGGTTGAAGTAGCTCCTATCACATAGATGTCCATATTGACCATTTAAAGTTGAAAAGAACCCCAGAGTATTTCTCTCTTTCTCACACCAGCGTTTGACAGTTAGAGGGGTGTGTTCAGTGATCAGAATGAGACTGTGAATGTTTTGCTAAATTCATTTTCATAGTGTATAAGCATTAAAAGTTTGAAATAGACCTTTTTAAAAATATGATTTTAATTAAATTCATAAAAAACAAATATGCTATATCGATGGTCTCTGAGGAAAACTTGACTATATTTTTTATTTATCAGGGTGCATGTAAAGAACTTTGAAATTTGCGGCTCTCACAACTTATCACACACATTGTGTGAAATGTTTAATAATTCCTCAAGTAGTATCTGTGAGAAAATCCCCACATATGGCTATAGTGAGAGAGCTACAATGAAGACTTTTAGAATCTGTGATGCCTCAGGCCGAGCCCCATTGATAGCCTGCTTATAAGCTCCTTCCGATCACCAGCACATCTTCAGAGAAATACGTTACTTTACAATAATGTTAGCTTCAGGATATAGGGTGACAGAGCAGATGAGCCTCTGTGCATCATGTAATGTTAGTCTGCTAACGCCTTTCCAGAGCCAAAGTTTTGTTCGTACTAAATTTATTTCAAAGCATAATCGTAAAAGTTTAAATATGATCTTTTAAAAATGAAAAGATTGTTTAAATTAAATCTTTATAGTTTTAATACATTCGTATGTTTTAGAAGATTACTGTAATGATTTTGTTTAACGGTGACCTAAAGTATAATTGTTATTAATATAGCCATAATGATTTTTGAACTGTAACAGCATATTCTACCCCATACACGACCATCACAGAAAACTACATTTTTACATTGTTTTTTACATACTGTTTTGCACTGGTTCCATAAAATCAAATAAAGTATATAACTCAATGTATAATGACAAATGTATTCAAACAATTTAACCTTAGTTTTAGCTAAATTAATATATATAAAAATTATATATATAAATATAAAATAACTCACACTCACAATAGAGACGAGAGGAGTGACAGTCCAGATGAGCCTCTGGGGTCACAATGCCCCAGCATATGCAATGCTAGTCTGCTTTTCAGAGGTTTATTCATATTAAACTCGTTTAAAAGCATAATCTTAAAAGTTTAAATGAGATCTTTTAAAATTGAAAAAAAACTGTTTAAATCAAATCTTTAAAGTTTTATTAAAATCGTATCTTCTATTTATCTTCTTAGAAGACTTCTGTATGATATAAATGATTTTCATAAAGCTATTATTTTTTACTAAACATTGTTTGTTCAAAAAATAAAAAATGTTATAAATCAAGAACTGTGCTTTGGCGTCTTAGATCTTATTTCAAATAGTTTTTGTCCATGCGACATGAAAGATGTTGTCAAAGTTTGTCACAAAGTTTTTTTGTTTTAAAAGAAATCCCAGGACTCTACATTGCTCTTATTTAGATTAAGTTGTATCATTTAGAAAATCACCACACATCTTCAGAGACGCAATGTGCCTCTGTGCTCCATGACGCAGCATAAGTTTGTCTTGAGCGAATATTTAATTTTACTCGTCTTAATTCAAAGCATGTTCTTACTTTTTCTGCGGTAGCTACGACCTATTGTACGTATAAGATATATCATATTTACTTTTCTTGCATCTCTCAAACTATCCTTATTCATTGTGGAAGCACACAGGGTGAAACCCTTCACTGAGAATATACTATCGGTTATCTACTCAAAATATATGTAGAAGTTTAAAATGTTAGCATTTGTTGATGCGACAGGCCACATGAACAGACTTCGGGGAGAGCTGATGATACTATAGCAGGAAACATGCCCCTTTGACCTCCTCCATTTTTGTAGGCTTTTTGTTAAATACCCCATAGCTTAGTCCTTAAAAGCTACGCTGTGTAGGAATTTCCCCATCTAGCGGTGAAATTGTATTTTGCATTCAAACGCATAGTGCTCTCTAGCGCTTCGCTTTTTCAAATGCATGTTGCAACTACGGTAACCGCTATGTGCCAAGAAGCTACGACATGTCGTCCAATTGCGCTTCATCGAGTTTAACTATACACGTTCTAGCGTTATGTTGCCTATATAATGAATTACACAACCACGGAATGAAAAAGCTTGTAATTTAGACCATAACACTGACTTAACTGTCGACGAGAAAGCAGGACTTCAGTGTCCCTTTCAAAGTCTTTCTCTTTCATTAGCTCTATCCACCTGGGAAAAGCTATCCCGATATTTACCGTCGTTTTGAATTTGCCGGACACGTTTCACTTTAAATTAATTTTTTAAGCTTTATCATGGCTACGAGGATTGCATTATGAAGTGCCGTGCAATCTTTCAAATTTGCCGGGGGAGTGACAAGCGCCTCTCACTGACCTTCTTGTGTCCGTTTCAGATGGTTTCAGTCAGCCGGCTCTAAACGAAAACGTGTTGAGGTAGCCTAGTGCTTTTTGTCCCTCTCCGCTATTATAGTTTTTCAAGATGGCGGAACGACATGGAGGCCTCCATGGACTTATGCGTCAGAACATCGGCAGAGCTAATTTTACACCAATGAGGTCATATTTATGAATAAAGCCATTGAGCTATTAAAATACTTTTTTAAAATGTATTTAATTCCCCTTAAAACCAAAGATTAAGTTTAATGACACAACGGTCCACCCAAAATCAAATACTTTATACGATTTGTATTACACTTTTCAAAGGTTAATCTTACTTTAAAGTTTGAAAAAATGTAAAAGCACTTCTTCATGTTTGCTGTGTTCTGACACAATGCCATTAATTGGTACTTTTTTCCTTTAAACTTCTTTTAAAATATACTTTTCTTATTTATACAAAGGTTCAATTTCAATTAATTTCCTAGCAAGTATAAAGTAAAAAATATGATATATGATATGTCTGATGCAAAGTTTTTTGCAAAAGAAATATGTGCCGCAAAACACCAAACAGTTCATCTCAGACGTAGACTAAAAATTCCCTTGGCTAGAAAAAATCTCTACAAAAGAT